ACTGTTATACCGTACTGTTATCATTGTTATACCGTACTGTTATCATTGTTATACCATACTGTTATTACTGTTATACCGTACTGTTATCATTGTTATACCGTACTGTTATCATTGTTATACCATACTGTTATTACTGTTATACCGTTCTGTTATCATTGTTTTATCGTACTGTTAGCGCGGGTATACCGTACCGTTATCATTGTTATACCATACTGTTATTACTGTTATACCGTACTGTTATCACCGTTATACCGTACTGTTATCATTGTTCTACCATACTATTATTACTGTTATCACCGTTATACCGTACTGTTATCACCGTTATAACATACTATTATTACTGTTATACCGTTCTGTTATCATTGTTTTATCGTACTGTTAGCGCGGGTATACCGTACCGTTATCATTGTTATACCATACTGTTATTACTGTTATGCCGTACTGTTATCATCGTTATACCGTACTGTTATCATTGTTCTACCATACTATTATTACTGTTATCACCGTTATACCGTACTGTTATCACCGTTATAACATACTATTATTACTGTTATACCGTACTGTTATCATTGTTATACCATACTATTATTACTGTTATCACCGTTATTATTGTTATACCGTGAATGATTAAATGTAACATATATTTCAACTAATATAAACAGTTGTCGTGTATTTTAAATCTACCTTTATGACGTGTTTCCATACTTCTTCTGTGGTTGTTATCCAGGGTTACCTGCCATTGTTGTTTTCATCTGGGCTCTCAGTAAAGCTTACTTTTCACCACTCTCAAGTGACACGTTTTTACTAGTAGGGTAAGTAAGTAAGCAAGTAACAGGTGTTGTTGTTGTTTTCTTTTTAAGCTCTAAAATTATATTAAGTAAAATTTATGTCATCGTAGAGTTCATTAGCATAATAGAACACTTGTGAAATAAACAACTAAAAATATGCTAAGATAATATAAACCAAATATATTTCAATACGCTCAACGTACTCGGTGAGTTTAGAATGTGCCTGAAACGTTTAAATATTGGGTTGTAAGTTCAACAGTTATAATAGCTTACAATTTGGAAACGTGAGTTCTAGAAAAAACGAATGATTGTAATGTAAGATTAATAGAGTAAGTTCGTCATGAACACTTAGAGAAATACCAGTTTTCAGTCTTCGAGAGGCTGAAAATATTGTCACCTGTTATTTCGTTTGTCAGCGATCACCTAGTTTTTCGAAGCTGTTACAACAACGTTCATAAATTCTCTTTTTAAAGTAATAAAATTCAAAAAATATTATTTCTAAACACTCTTCGTAATATTTTGCAAAGCCTATAATTAAAACCGAATGCTCAAAAACAAGAATAATTCTGTTTATATCTTTGCGAGTTTAGGAACTTTCGCTGTTCCTACGTATATTTGACAGTTTTTAAACTAGGTAAATTATTTATGACGATTAATGGAGGTTTTAGATCTCCAAATTTAATCAAACATTTTTGTATCCACATTCGAGAAATTTCTATATTATTTACTTCGTCTTATGTGGATAATTTCTACTTCTAACTTAGGTTACTATCTCCGAGTTTATACTTCCAAGCTCTAACCATTCCTTTAAAAGGTATTTCTTGTATTCACGTGCATTTAGAAATATTATATTGGATTAACTTTATTAACTTAAATATACGTGTGTGCCACGAATGATTGAATTAAACGTATAGATCAGCATACAAGTGTTGTGATTGGTGCACTATAAATGATTAAATTAATTTTAATTCATCTTAAATCAATTATTATTATTGCTATAATTGAATTCAACTTGAAATTCAACTTTCATCAGTTGTTATCATCGCCGTACCATGATTAATAACACAGGCCTGCGATAGTTTTATTGTCTTGGAATTTTTACATGTACTTCCTGTACGCTGAATCTGAAAATGATATCCATCTTTCTCCATCACGTACAGAAATTTTCACAAAACGTCATATGTACTGTTACATAAGTGAATCATTTTCATTGAAATCGGGTCACATTTTGTTATGCTGAAAATGTTGACTATCACTGGCTATAGATTTCTCTAGACCAATTACGACATAAGAGTCTTATCGATTGTTCTAGAACCCACAAGAAATACACCGCTAGTATATAAACGGTTAACAGGCCGCATGACGTGTCATTTCTGGATAGTATTTGTTTGTGCGTGCACTTTGACATTATTATTTTTTCGTCGCTATGGCAACAAGAGGTTGTGTAAATGACCCAAACATATTCTGTTATATTTATGGTAAATTTATTGTAAAGAAACAAATGTAAAATATTACAGAATTCGTCAAAAAAAAAGCGTATTACACGTATTTTGAAATAAAACTTAGGGATCAAGACAAATCATGGGATCCGCACAAAGTTTGCACCATTTGTGTCCAAGAGTTGAGACAATGGACTAAAGGTAAGAAAAAATTCTTTGCCTTTCGGAATTCCATTGGTCTGGCGTGAGCCTAGAAACCACGGAGATGACTGCTATTTTTGCTCATGTAACATGCAAGGCTACAACACTCGAAATAAAATGGAAATTTCTTATCCAAACCTTCAATCTGCTATAAGACCTGTTGTACATGTACCTGTAACTACTCATCCGGAGACTCTTGATACAGTTTCATCTGATTCTGAATCTGATGGCAATAGAAATGATGATAAGGATTTTTTTCAACCTGAAACGTCTGGTGAGCCACAACTTTTCAAACAAGGTAAACTTAATGAGTTGGTGATAGACTTGGGCCTTCCAAAGGATTCTTCAGATATTTTTGGGTCCAGACTTCGGGCTAAGAACTTACTTTCTCCAGGGATATCATATTACTGGTACAGAAATCGTGAAAAAGAGTTTAACCATGCTTTTCACAAAAATGTTCACTGGTTTATTGCAAGAATATTGCTGAATTAATACCAGTGCTAGGAGCTGCAGTCTATGAACTAAGTTAGTGGCAATTGTTCATTGATTCCTCCAAAAGAAGTCTAAAAGGTGTTCTCCTTCACAATGGTAACATATGTGTGTCTGTTCCTATTGTTCATTTGGTTCACTTGAAGGAAACGTACGAAAATCTCGAACTTCTTCTTAATATGGTCAAATACAAAGAATACGGTTGGCTACTTTGTGGAGACTCAAAAGTCCTTTGTGTGTTGTTGGGTCAACAATCCGGTTATACAAAGTTTCCATGTCTTCTGTGTGAATGGGACAACAGAGCACGAAATAAGCACTGGATAAAGAAGCAATGGTCACGCAGAATAAGCCTGATACCAGGATCGAAGAACATTGAACGTGAAAGTTTGGTTTACACAAAGAAAGTCCTATTACCTCCACTTCACATAAAACTGGGCTTCATGAAGCAGTCTGTAAAGGCCTTAGACAAAAATGGCGACTGTTTCAAGTATCTATGTGAACAATTCCCAGCTCTTTCAGAAGCAAAACTTAAAGAAGGGATTTTTGTTGGACCTCAGATTAGCAAATTGTCTTCGGATGATCAGTTCAAAAGGACAATGAGGAAAGTTGAAAAAGAGGCGTGGATTACCTTTAAAGATGTTTATGACATTTTTTATGAAACAACAGGGACACAAATTATGGAAAATATTGTCAATAACATGCTCGATAAATGTAAAGAATTGGGTTGTAATATGAGATCGAAAGTTCATTTCTTACACTCACATATTGACTATTTCCCCGAAAATCTCGGTGCCATCAGCGAAGAACAAAGGGAAAGGTTTCATCAAGACATCAGGGAAATGGAGAGGAGGTATCAGGGAAGGTAGAACATCAGCATGATGACTGATTACTGCTGGTCATTGAAACGAGGTGCTCCAGACGTAATACATAAAAGAAAAACCATAATACGTAGATTTGAGACTAAAAGACGTATATTTCACAAAATATTCAGGATGAATGAGGATGCATATTCGTTTGACATCAATGTCCTTCCCTTTTCTTCAGTTTGTTTGTATTTTTATTAACAAACATAATAATAAAAAAATTTCATTGTGGTAAAAGAAATAATAATTTGATCTAACTAAGAGTTTTTCTTCCCGATTTTTAGAAAATCCTTACGTGATAGAAAAAAAAATTAATATTATTTTCAAAATCCGCATAGCTGAATAATGAAAAATCTGTTATTAAAACCAAAATAACTTTTACGAAGTTTAAATTCGCAGGCCTGTGTAATAACAGAATTAAATTCTGGGTCCAACTTATATCTGTTATCAACATTATTGTACTTTGAGTAATGACGATATTAACTTTAGTACACATTTGTGACTTTTTAACTTTAATTTCTTATCGTTTATCCAGGTGTCCATGGCAGAACAGAGATAGTTATGATTATATATTCATTGTGCCGGTTATAATCGTTTTATTGGTGAGCTTTTGTCTCTTTATTTATCCTATATTTACATATCCAGTAGATTTTAATATAGTACAGATTTTTTTAGCCCACGAACTAAATTCAGTATAGTTTTTAAAACAAATTAAATTTTGCTCAATAGTATATAACATAACGACTAACTTCAGTTATTTTTATGCGTCTTACTCTAACCTAGTATATTATAGAATATTTTAAAATGTAAAGTAATGTCCCACATTTGGTAAGTTTGTGGACTTACAACGAGAAAATCCGGGGTTTGATTTCCTGCGATGGACACAGCGGATAGCCCAATGTGGATCTGCTCTATTACAGACAAGTAAAAGTAATTGTAATATTATGTAATTAAATGTCATTATTATAATTAGTAGACATATCAACCTGGTATAATTTATAAAAATGTTATTAATATTACATATTGGAGTTTATTAGATCGAAAAACTGGTTCAGGTTATTTAATAAGAACTTAAATTTCGTTCATCTATTACTTGTAAAACATCGTTAATGATTAACCAATCAGCGAGCACAAGACATAATGCACTTTCATTAATTAACCAGTAAACAACATCAATACTTCGTGGTTTATAAATTAGCGACGCTCATTGGCTTTAAATCCTGAGAACAGTAAAACAAAAATTAAGTTAAATATTTACAATGACTAATCGATGAGTCTGAAAGCGACAATTCACAATCACTATTAACCTATTTATCGATCAGTCTGTCAATGCAAACACGTATTGATTTTTAGAAGTAAAATAAGTTAAATCATAAACTTAATAAAATATTATAACGTAGGGTCATACCTAAAGCTTACGAGGCCTGGCATGGCACGGTGGTTAATGTGCTCGCTTCGTAAACTGCATGTCGCGGGATAGAAACCTGTCATCAAACCTGCTCCCCTTCAGCCATGTGGGGACCTTATAATGTAACAGTCAACCCCACTTTTTGTTGGTAAAACGTAGCCCAAGAGTTGGCGATAGGTGGTATTGACTAGCTGCCTTTCTTCTGGTCTATCACATCAAAATTAGGGACGACTAGCGCAGATAGCCCTCGAGTATTTTTACGCGAAATTCAACAAATAAACAAAATTTGCGATTCGCTCTCTGATGACTAATGTTGCCCGGTTTGCCAGAGGTATGCCTGCAGATTTACAACGCTAGAGACTGGGTTTCGATACCCGTGGTGGGCAGAGCACAGATAGCCCAATGTGTAGCTCTGTGCTTAACTACAAACAAACGATTAAGACAAATACGACCTTAGAATTACACGAGGCTTAAATATAATAGCTGTGAAAAGAAAAGATAGCTAACGGCATCTGGTTGTACTGTTTGATTTGAAGTTTGATTTGCTGTTTGATTTGAAGTTTGATTTGCTGTTTGATTTGAAGTTTAATTTACTGTTTGATTTGAAGTTTAATTTACTGTTTGATTTGAAGTTTGATTTGCTGTTTGATTTGAAGTTTGATTTGCTGTTTGATTTGAAGTTTAATTTGCTGTTTGATTTGAAGTTTGATTTGCTGTTTGATTTGAAGTTTGATTTGCTGTTTGATTTGAAGTTTGATTTGCTGTTTGATTTGAAGTTTAATTTGCTGTTTGATTTGAAGTTTGTTTTTCCTATCTGTAAAGAAGTACTGGAAAGTCATGAGATTAAAACACAAAATTGTTTTTGTTTTAATAATATGGAAGCATCAAACATCTTAAAGACGAAGTTGGAAGACCACGTGCAGTAAACCAAACAATAGAGAAACTGAAATCATATGAGAAGTATCGTAATCTACCTACTGACATTTGAGAACAACAACAATATAAATCGTGAAAGAAAAATAAACACACATTGAATACGTTTAATTAGTTAATCTATTTAGTGAAATGCGTGCTTTCATCTAACACATAATATTATAATCTTATATTAACTGGAACTAGAAGAAAAGAGAGAGAGAGAAAAAAAAAGGTTTTCTTAAAGTCGTATTTGTTTTGATAATTTTCCTAAACTTTAGTTCTTAACACCGACTTCAATAATTATTTTAATTTTACGAAAATACTATTCACTGTACCGAAACTCCGCATCCTTATTAGGCTAAAGTGTTAAATATTTATGTGTTATTGTTGAACGCGAACTAATCCGCTAGAGGGGAAAAGTGACTCTATATGGAATATGTTAAGTTTGGTCAGTAAAATATCAGAGGTCGTAACAAGATGAAATCTTATCAGACTTGAAAAACGGGCAACTTTGATTTCTATCCCTCCGTCTTGGAATAATTTAAAAATCTTAAGAATATTTTTGTTTTTGGTTAATAGAAATAATATTCTTTCTTGTTGTATCTCGAAATCAAAAAGAACAATTAAATTGTTGACATACAGTAGGACTTTTTTGTATCTGTAAGCCTGTTTAAAGATTTAGGTTCTCATAATGAATAGATCATTATCATCATATAAATTGTGAACTGATCATTGGGAAGTACTAAAGTAAAAATACCTGAACTATAGATAGTGATGTAATTTCCGGTTAAAGAATGACATCATATCCTGTAATCATCAAAGAGCATCATTTGTTAAAACGAGACCAGTTTTTAGATTACTGAAGATTTATGGCGTGGATCCAATAAAAACACACATACCTAGTAACATTTGTATCTTCAAAAGCTTCAGTAGCCTCGTGGCTTGGATACTCGTCTCGCAATCTGAGGGTCGCGGATTCGAATCCCGTCCCTGAACATGCTCATCCTTCCAGCCATGATGCTGTTATAATGTTGGCGATTGGTGGTGTTGAAAAGCCTTGCCTGTAGTCTATCACCTCAAAATTAGGGACTGCTAGCGCAGATAGCCCTCGAGTAGTTTTGCACGAAATTCAAACACAAACCCATAACCTTCAAATCTCAAATACTCAAATGTTTGACTCAAACATCTAATGGAACCACAAGGGTGAACATTGTTGGAAAGTGTGAGTGTAACAATCAAAATTTTTATTACTCACGTTCAACTAGACAGTTTTCCGCTAGGTAGCGTGACTAAATGAAAAGTCACTTGGTTTCTGGGAATTTAAAGAAATTTGACAAAATCCTTTTTCTCTCTTCAACTTCCACGCGCATAACGACGTTCAATTAGACAGTTTTCCGCTAGGTAGCGTGACTAAATGAAAAGTCACTTGGTTTCTGGGAATTTAAAGAAATTTGACAAAATCCTTTTCTCTCTTCAACTTTCCACAGGCATAACGACAGAGAGAAATTATCAATTTATTGGGAAAAAAAGATAAAGTTTAATTTACTTACGATTGAATCACTCTTTTCTTCTTACGATACGAACGTGAATTACTATTTGTGAATAATGGTGGTTCTCAAGTACTTATATAATATTAAACTGTACAACTTATTTTATACCAATATATGAAGAAAACATGTCATTCGCAGCTGTTCTCTCTCCTCTTAATTTTTATGAAAAGAAAAATCTAAACATTTATAAATCGATTAAAAAAGCTTCCTTTTAATATTTATAGATGGCGCGTTGATATTTTTTTCCTGATCTCAAATTAAAACCAAATGACTGTTTGCTTGCTTGTTTGTTTGTTGTTGCTTTTTGGCAAACATTCGTCCTTTCGTTCATGTGATTCAGAAGTATTTTGTAATTCTTTCAAGCTAATTTAGTTTTTTTTACAAACTTCGACGTCGTATATGGTAGGAATTAACGGATAAGCTAAGCCTAATCTGTTTATTTACATCATAAGTCACATGGCAAGATAAAGCATTAATTAGAAGCATATACGTCACGACTCAAGTGGCTTGATAAAACGTTACATAAATGTATGCATGCTACAATTCCTGTTACAGCATAAACTGTAACAAATTAGTATTTTATCAAATATATATAATAGATGGATAAAAATCCCGTAGCGGACTAGTATTTGGTCATACTAAGAGAGATGGATAAAAGATAGCCATACGAGTGACAGACAGATAAAAAGCATCATATATCATAGTGATATTTGGTCAAATCAATAGCAAAAAGTTAAAGAATCGCTTAAAAGCTGGTATTGGATAATATGGATTGTATATGGTGCTAATATCTTATGTGGGAAGTTATAATACCACGTACATCTTCTTGCATCATACTTCATGTAGTAAACAAAGGTATACCACATACATACGAACCTGGAACACACCCCTTGATAAAGTTTCACAATCATACATTAATATCTTTTTGTGTATGTGACGGGAGTGAACCAATATATTTGTGTCTTTCGCATCAATGGTGACTCAAAATGTTAGGTCACATATTTTGATGCAAGCTAATAAACCTCATATATCTGTTGAATTTTTATGTCTCGTTGCAAAATAACATAGCACATGCATCTATTGAAGTCGTATGTCTTGTGGCAAGGATAATATACTGATTACATCTATTGAAGTCGTATGTCTCGTGGCAAGGATAATATACTGATTACATCTATTGAAGTCGTATGTCTCGTGGCAAGGATAATATACTGATTACATCTATTGAAGTCGTATGTCTCGTGGCAAGGATAATATACTGCATACATCTATTGAAGTCGTATGTCTTGTGGCAAGAATAATATATGGCTTACATCTATTGAAGTCGTATGTCTCGTGGCAAGGATAATATACTGCATACATCTATTGAAGTCGTATGTCTCGTGCAAGGATAATATACTGATATACGTATGTTGAAGTTGTATGTCTCGTGGCAAGGATAATATACTGCATACGTACATTGAAGTTGTATGTCTTGTGGCAGGATAGTATATGGCATTCATAATTTTCAGGTCATACCTTTAGTTTCAGGATAAGGTATTATAATCATACACTTTAGGCATATGTCTCTTGAGGAGAAAAATTTATGAAGTTATACACTTTGACCTTCTGTCTCATAATAAGATAAAGTGTTGCATAAATCTTTTTTTTGGCGGGATATGTATTCTTGGTTCATACTTCTAATAGCATGATAACAAAAACATATATATCTAAATCATACTTTCTTAGGATTAATTATTACACGAAGTGTAGATTCAGATATTTTGGTCACATACATAGTAGCAGGATAAAATATCACATATTATTCAAGTAATTCTTCTTAAGGCGTGATAAAAATAAAATTTTAGGTGATACCTTTCGCAACACAGTAATATGTATATTTGATATTTAGGAATCTACATGTATAAAAGCCAATATCTGTTCGTAACGATTCTTTTGTCGGTAACACTCGACTTGCTGTTGGTAACGTTCAGATTCACTTAGTGGCTACTCTTTTACCAACGAATAGTGGGATTGACCCTCACTTTATAACGCCCCCACGACTGAAAGTGCGAGCATGTTTGGTGGGACGGGGATTCGAACCCACGACCCTCAAATGCGAGTCGAGCACCCTAACCACCTGGTCATGCCGGGCCCGTTTGACTGTCATGTAGAAGTCTCCCATTCAAATCTCAGTCGAATCGTGATTTTATGTTATATTTTTTATTATTATATTTATTTTTATATGTTTATTATCATACTTATAACATGCTTTTTGAGTATTCGGAAAATACGAATACACTTATAGATTAAATCAGGGATAATATCATATTACATAATAAACAGCAGTGACTGTATGTGTCAAAACAACTTAAATATCTTTTCAACCTAATAGGTGGCGTTTCGATACATTGTTATTGATGTTTTTCACCTTACGTAAGATACTTTTAAAAACTTAGTCAAAATATTTATAAGCATTTATAAGAAACGTTATACCTTCAGATATTTGCCTTTCACCATCAAATTCGTTCCCTTTGATATCACAGTTAACAAATAACTGGATCAGACATATGATGATGTAGGAATATTTCTTCAAGAACCAGTTTTTTTCGCATGCTTTAATATATATATAAGGCTTTAACAAGAAGCAGATTTAAAAATAACATAAGAATAAGTTTATTCATGACTATATTTAACTGGAATGAACAACAACTGCGTGTTGTAGAAACACAGTTGTAGAGGGCAACGTTTCGAAAGTCTTCCGACTTCGAAGAAAACAAAAATATACACAAGTCAAATTCTAATCAAGGGCCACTTAGAGATGATGACCAAATATACTCGAAAAATGTTGTTTTAATGAAATACTAAAAAATGATAATAAACATTCTTTGTACATGTGCTGTTAATATAATATAATTAATTTCTAGGAAACATATTCATAAAACTTTAATTTTGATTTAACTTTCGGAAGGAAAATTAATAAGCATTTATCGTCATATGATTGGCGCTCAGCTATTGTATAGAATATCAAGCACATGTATTTAGGTCATACACCTTGTAGGAGAAAAATATACTATTTCCATGTACTTAATTTATCAACATAAAGTATCACAATATGGCCTCACATGACAAGATAAAGAGTCCCACACATGCATAGATTTATGTGATACGTTGAGTTCATGATTAAGTATCATATTTAAGGTCATACATGATACCTTTTCTTCATAATTAAGTATCATATTTTAGGTTATACGTGATACCTTTTCTTCATGATTAAGTATCATATTTTAGGTTATACGCGATACCTTTAGTTCATGATTAAGTATCATATTTAAGGTTATGCGTGATACCTTTAGTTCATGATTGAGTATCATATTTAAGGTTATACGTGATACTTTTAGTTCATGATTAAGTATCATATTTAAGGTTATACGTGATACCTTTAATTCATGATTAAGTATCGTATTTAAGGTTATACGTGATACGTTTAGTTCATGATTAAGTATCATATTTAAGGTTATACGTGATACGTTTAGTTCATGATTAAGTGTCATATTTAAGGTTATACGTGATACCTATAGTTCATTATTAAGTATCATAAACATGATTTTTGCAAAATACATCAGATACAAGTTCGTTAGTGAAACATTTTGTTGGCTTTGGGCTACTGTTCTGCATATTATAGTATCGTCGCTATCGAAAACCAGAGTTAAAATGTTATATAAAATAGTAACATGGTTATTTCTTATAGTGTTTCCCTCGCATATCCTGTTTGATAATTTAAATAGTCACATCGATATGGCTAAGTTGGTACTTTTTTACCCCTTTATAAGATTAAGAACAAACAGCATAGGGTTTCCTATTTGTTTCATTAAATTTAATGCAGACTCGTTCTGAAAACTGAGCAACATAACTTAAACATTATCAGTTTATTATCAGCCAACTTAGCAACATCCCATAGAGACAATGTTCAAACTCGCGTTACCATGGAGACAAAGATGCAATCAAATGCAGACGTTACTAACAAGAACCTAAATGTTACCAGAATATTAGTGTTATAAACGAACCTTCTATAATATTCGTTATGATATTCATCACGTAGATCTGCAACATTCAACAGAAGAAATTAATGCCCGAATATTTTTTTTTAATTTCTTGGCAATTACTGGCAAGAAAGAAAAAAAATAATATATTCAATTTTTTTCCTCATATTTCAGCTCATTTCTCCGTGAATGCAAGTAACCGTACATTTCGGTCAGAATGGGTGGGTCTTGGTTTTGTTTGATTTGATTTGCTCTCAAAACTACACGAGATCTATCTTCTGCGCTAGCCGTCCCAAATTTAGCAGTGATAGACTAGAGGGAAGGCAGCTAGTCAATACCACCCACCGCCAACTGTTAGGCTACTCTTTTACCAACGAATAGTGAGATTAAATGTCACATTATAACGCGCCCACTGCACGTTCGGTGACTGGGATTCGAACCTGCGACTCGCAGATTGCGAGTCGATTCCCCCACCCACCAGGCTATGCCAGGTCCAGTTTGGACTAAAGCGCACGTTGGATCAGGTGTGGTCGAGTAGTTAGTTGGACGGGAATCAAGACATGGGCTTGCCGCTGAGAACAGTCAATTGTGAGCGCGTTATAAAAGTAACAGTCAGTTCTTGTATTCGATTCAAAACTCTTCTAGGAGTGAGTGCAGTAGGCTGCCTTACTCCTTCTGGTCAGTAGTTCAAAATTAGGGGCAGATATACCTAAACCATAAGCGTCTCTCTGAACTCGACCATTTGACCAACACGTGCATAACTTACCTTTCAGGTAGAAACTTTCAATTCGTGAAGCACGTGGTTTTAGCCAAGCCTAAATTCACACCTGTTAAATACAGCCGTTCCTATCCAGTGACTGACCTGTTTCACCAAGGTTAAAAGCCAAACTTTTCTAGAAAAACAACAACTTTCGCATCCTGCCGAGTTACGAACGTTGATTAGAGTATTACATAGACCAGCTTACAGCGCCAAAACACGTAGTATTCCCTCCACACACCTCTTGGGAGGGCCAGTGAGTTCCAGTGATTATCTTGACGGACTGTGGATCAGATGTTCGCACCCCGTTACTACCGGAAAAAAAATCACGCTTTGCTATTTGGTGATGTGGGTGCGTTATAAGAGTGATGGTCAAATCCCGCTATTCAATTACAGTAGTCTACGAGTTGGCGGTGGGTGGTGTTGACTAGCTGTCTTCCCCCTTGTAGTCTATCTTTGAAATTTAGAACCGACTACTGCAGACAGCCCTCGAATAGCTTTGCGCGAAATTCAACAAAACAAACAAACAAACACACCTTTTGATCATTTAATAATTGTCGCTATCATCTCATTGTTGACTACCACGAGAGGTGAAATGTTGTTAAAGTTTACATACATGCGTTTTTCATTTCAGGTAAACATATTCTTTCTCGGACAGATCATGTGGGTTCTAATCACTAAACTCAGAGCAGCCAGCACGATCGAACAAAAGCAGTACCGGTGGGGTTATTGGATTTCTTCTTTTTGATACATTTTAAGATAAGTAGAAAGACTGGTGTATTGTTGACTGTTTCTTGAAACCTAGTGATTTTTACACAAACGGATATAAGAAGCTGTTCTTTTGTTCGTTTTCTGAAATCAAATCTGATATTTCTGGAATTATTTCATACTTTCTTTAGTCTGTAACCCTTAACACAGAATCATAGTTTAAACTCCATATTAACTTTTGTAAAATGATGTAGATAGAAAAGTCTACAAGTTCTTAAGTAACAATGTCATTTTCAACATTTAGTTTGACCTGTGTTTTTTTCGACAGAATAAGACTTGGATTAATATAGTGTGTATTATATGTATGATGTTTGAGATGCGTGACTAAACGACATCTCAAAACATCATACATGTAAAATTCCACAACTTCTTAAGTTACAATGTCATTTTCAACATTTAGTTTGATCTGTGTTGTTGTTTTTTTTCCCCCACAGAAAAGCTGCTAAAGCTCTGCTGGTTCTGATTCCTCTTCTTGGAGTTACATATGTCCTGGTCATTGTAACTCCGACTCACAGAACGGCCCGAATTGCCTTCACCTACATTCAGGCTACGTTACTCTCCACCCAGGTATATTATGCGCGGCTGTAGTCGTCAAAGATAAATTGTAAAAATGTTATAGCAAACGGTTATCTTTTTAGGGTTAATGTATTTGAAATTTCTCAAACGTTGACCAAAATAATTACGTAAAATGTCATGTAGATGACTGATGTCACATGAAATAGATTATGTGATAAAATTCTTTGTTATTTTTGTTTTAGAGCAAAGCCACATTAGGCTATCTGCTGTCTTCACCGCGGGGAATCAAACCTCGGATTTTAGCGTTGTAAGTCTGTAAACTTACCGCTTCCCCACAGAGGGACTAAATAAACTAGAAACAGTAAGGTTATTTTTTTAGACAAATTAAACCATGTTAAGCCATATGTATCTTGTGACAAATATTTATATTCTGATAAAACATGATTAATTCTTTTTTATTCAGACAAAATCATTTTAATCACTAACCATCTTAGGGTGTTTGTGCAGCCACAAAATAATTAATTTATTACCTGGTGTTGGCGCTGGCTTACAAACCAAAACCTTCTGAAGTTTAATGGATTAATTTTACCAATAATGGTAATCCAGATGTGGTTAATGATGTTCTTACACACGGAGGCACAGTTACTAATTTTATGCTGTCATAAACGTTTAGCAGATAATCTGAGATATTAAATCTTGGGATGATACAACAAATAGAATAAAAACTTTGAAGTGTAAAGAAGTTAATAAGAAATAAAAATAAACTCTTTCGTTCATCATGAAGACAGGCCTACTTCCAAAAGCAGTCAACCCTTTCAAACCATGGCCTAGTATGATTGGTGGTGAGGATGCGAGTTAAAATCCCGTTACAGAACATACTCGCCCTTTGAGTCAGATCAACGTAGGCCTGTAATGCAATCATTGATTGGCATGTCCTTCAGCCAATCAGGAAATGTCATAGACCTACTGAAGGATGTGTAGATTGTATAGGAATTATTTTTGGCGGCGAAGGACAGGTTTATGTGTTTTAATAAAGGTGGCTTCCAAAATATAGAGATGAAAGGTCGACCGACCATTTGCAATAATTTTAAACCTGCTATCTTTGTAGTTGTCAGCTGACAACTCGAACAACTCGACTTTCAACATCTACATATCTACATGTGCCAATGTTTCCGTTTATCAACGTTATATTTTAAGATATGTGCAAGAACTCAGCTAACAGATGTTTCCGTATATAAAAGCTATCTTCAAGTTTTGTACAACAAAAAACTTTTTCAAGTTATCACAATATTTTCTCACTCCTCTTGTGCTTTTTTTCCACAAGTCAGCCAATGTCTAAGGTCTTCAGCTTCTAGCTGAACTGTTACTCAAGTTAAAGACTCATCAGTCTATTCGAGCTGCATTTAGAGATTTAATTTTTATGTAGCCAGATGGAATTGCTACGATTCAAGTTTCTTAGAGCATTTTTTTCGTGAAACCAAGTTGATCCAGAGGGATGACTGGAAGCTTGTTAACTTTGTACTTGTGAACCTTCGTAAACTTCAAGTCCTTTTTCTATAATTATGTTAATTGTGTCGGGAGATATGCCTAGCTTCATCACAGTAGCTTTGAGATCGGAAGGTTCTCTTTCGTAATCATAGCGTTCATTTGCCGGATGCGGGTAATGGCCGTCAATGGCTTGGAGTGTGGTATTTGATACTGTTTCTGTCTTAGAATTTCTTCTTACTACAAAGAACACCGAAGACGCTTCCATTATTCAAGATATCGTGTTCTTTGGCTCTGTCTCATTTAACAATTTCATTGTAGACTATTTGTCTTCGATAAAAGGAGTTCCTTATTTCAACAGCCACTAATTAAGTATAAGTGGGGGTATTTTCTTTGTTTGATAAGCCTGAATCGTTTTTATGTCCGATTTAGTAATTGTACATCACACAACACTAGTTCTAGAACCATCTTACAAAGTTCCAGGGAAACGTTATCTAGTTAATTGCGTTTCCATAATGTATAAATAATTTTCTGTGTGTTTTATTTGGGAATGCTTTTTTACAGCATGATAAACTGTGACGTAAGCAAATTTGTTGTGAAGCTCATTGTTCTTCAGTTTAAGAATCATCTTTATATTTTATCATGAATCTATAATCAAATTTAGGACTTTGATTAAAAATTATAAATAGAAGAACTAAAGTATTCTTTTAGTCCTAACTGGTATCAAAAACAGATGTAGAAAATCTTTTTAATTTATTTAGTCCTAACTGGTATCAAAAAGAGGTGTAGAAAATCTTTTTAATTTATTTAGTCCTAACTGGTATCAAAAAGAGGTGTAGAAAATCTTTTTAATTTATTTAGTCCTAACTGGTATCAAAAACAGGTGTAGAAAATCTTTTTAATTTATTTAGTCCTAACTGGTATCAAAAACAGGTGTAGAAAATCTTTTTAATTTATTTAGTCCTAACTGGTATCAAAAAGAGGTGTAGAAAATCTTTTTAATTTATTTAGTCCTAACTGGTATCAAAAACAGATGTAGAAAATCTTTTTAATTTATTTAGTCCTAACTGGTATCAAAAGAGGTGTAGAAAATCTTTTTAATTCCTGAAATTAGGATTAGCACTGAAAAATGGCTTCTGTTTTATCTTGTATTCTTTTTCTTTCTTTTTTTTAGAGTAGAAAAATGCTCAGTCTTTTTGTTACTTTTTCATAGGGTCTGACAGTTTCCATCTTGTATTGTTTCCTCAATGGAGAGGTAAGTGAAATTAAAAAAAAATAATTTATTGAGGTTGCTTTTTCGTTTATTGTACTTTTTCTTGATGAACTTGAACTCCAATATTTAATATCGAAATTACCCCCAATATAAAATATCAGATCCTTATGAGTTATACTTCATGAATATCATGCAGTTCGATAATAGAACATTCTAGAAATATTTATATACCGTTTTCTTTTAAGTATCTTCCATGCGAGTGATCCGTGGTTAAATTAAGGATTACTTTATTTTCATAAAAGCTTTTCCAAAATGAGCAAAAGTTTTACCGGCCATTAAGAATATGTAGAGGTTTAATTAATTAATAAAAACTTGTATGCTGACAAAGTTTCAGAAATCAAGAGTAACAATACTCTATTTTCAGGAGCTCTCAAACTTTTTTTTTTGCCGGGCCCGACTTTGAAAATAGTCGACTATGTTTCATAGACACATTAAAATTATTGAATCACGTTTTTAATACCACGACTAAATCCACCTTCATTAAATTAGGTTCGAAACACGCTCCATCAACATTTGGAACGGTGGAGGACATCCCGATCGTTGCAGGGTTATTCTACACGTTGTAGGTTCACCAACAATAGAGACAGCCCCCGGCTTACTGCTCGTGAACGGGCAGATATGGATTGGACAGAGAATAGAAAGAACTCTCCCATACAACTAAATAGCTATACAACTGGAGGTGCCTGTACTCGAGGGAATAGCAACGAAGAGGCTGTTTAGCCTTTTCGAATAAGAATTGAGAAAAACCTGATAAGGAATAGAAAATACTATAAGTAAATAAATAAATATGAGGCCTACAGAAAATGTGATGGGTATTATAATTGTCAAGATAAGAGCACGCCAGAGTAACTTAAAAACATGCTATTTTTTTAAGGTTTTATGTTGTCTCTTAATAGATACAACTTCGCACCACTCTCTCTTTCTATATATACGTACAGGGTTCTCCCAAAAATGTATGACTATAGTAAATGAACCTACAAGCCAGCAACACGTCTTTATTAATATTTAATACAACAAATTAAATGTGCACACACACACTGCTGCATCATTTGAGATGCTCAAACTAGGCTTCATTAGCATTCAAACAGTGGTGACACCTACGACGGAGGACCTGACATACTGTTTCACAATTTTCAATTCTTCGTTTGTGATCTGTTGCTTTAATTCGTCGGTGGTTTTTGGTTCACTTTCTGACATCCTTCGATATTATGTGAAATCAAAATAGAACCGATATACAGAAGTTGTATAACTTAAATAATGGGTACATTTTTGGGACACCCTGTATGTAAAGATGGTTTTTCTGCACTACCAACTAAAGTGTAACTAAGGGGTTTTTTAATGTTTCGCTTTCGATACTAATTGTTATGCTTAACAATAGCTTTAACTTGTAGGGTTTGAATAAAGTCCATTACCTATCCCTCCTTATAACCTAAAATATATTAGGTATTTGAATAATATGTGATTATCCTTTCACAATTCATTATTTAGAATTATTCAACAGCCTAGCTGGTAAGTTGGTAACTTCAGAGAAGGGAAGAAAGAATCCACGAATAACGCTCAGGCCTAGTATATTCTTTGTTGTCCCTTAGTGGCTTAGTGGTAAGCCTGGGGACATATACGCTATAAACTGGGTTTTGATACCCATGAGAAGCCCATTGTGTAGTTTTTCACTCAATCTATACTGTGTTTCGTTGTTTCCACAGTAGTAGTCTAGATTTAAACTGTAACAATGAAAAAATAATTGAATGAGTGAACAGGTTTAAACTGTAACAATGTGAAAATAATGAAATGAGTGAACAGGTTTAAATTGCAACAATGTAAAAATAATGAAATGAGTGCACAGATTTAAACTGTAACAATGTAAAACTAATTAAATGAGTGAACAGGTTTAAACTGTAACAATGTAAAAGTAATTAAATGAGTGAACAGATTTAAAATGTAACAATGTAAAATAATTAAATGAGTGAACAGGTTTAAACTGTAACAATGAAAAAATAATGAAATGAGTAAACAGGTTTAAACTGTAACAATGAAAAAATAATGAAATGAGTGAACAAGTTTAAACTGCAACAATGAAAAAATAATGAAATGAGTGAACAGGTTTAAACTGTAACAATGTAAAAGTAATTAAATGAGTGAACAGGTTTAAACTGTAACAATGTAAAAATAATGAAATGAGTGAACAGGTTTAAACTGTAACAATGAAAAAATAATGAAATGAGTGAACAGATTTAAAATGTAACAATGTAAAATAATGAAATGAGTGAACAGGTTTAAACTGCAACAATGAAAAAATAATGAAATGAGTGAACAGATTTAAAATGTAACAATGTAAAAATAATTAAATGATTGAACAGGTTTAAACTGTAACAATGTAAAAATAAGTGAACAGGTTTAAACTGTAACAATGTAAAAATAATGAAATGAGTGAACAGGTTTAAACTGTAACAATGTGAAAATAATGGAATGAGTGAAAACATTTAAACTGTAACAATGTGAAAATAATGGAATGAATTGTTGTTTGTTGTTAAGCACAAAGTTACACAATGGACTATCTGTGATGAGCCCACCACGGCTATCAAAACCCAGTTTTTAACGTTATAAGTCTTCAGACTTTCCGCTGAGCCTCTGGGGGGCTGGAATTAATGAACAGAGTAAACTGTAGCAATGTGAATATAATGGAATGAAAGTTTTTAAACTCAGATAAGTAAGTTATGACTTGTAAGAAGTTTAAGTTATAAAATTGTATTTCACAAATGTAATGAAAGATATACACAGGTTTAAATTGTGATACGTTTTTCGAATATTTGATTACTGGAGGTGTCACAGAGTTTATAATGTAAACTTTCTGTAATAAATGAAGAGGGGGAGGAGCCCCAGGGTTTAAAGTGTGACACTTTCCAATATTAATTGGGAAGGACAGATATCATACTGCTGTTGTTCATAAAAACGAACTTTGTATATGTAGCACTTAGGCCACTGCTATGTTTGCCAATACTCAGCCGGCTTGATGAGCCGTGGCATTAAGCGAAAGGCCTCGTCAGCACTGGATATAGTAGATGTAGTGTGGTTGACATAATATAGCATACTCCTGGATTCTTAGAAGAAAAAGAATGTAACATTTTCTGTAAGCACTGTAATAATGAATGTATCCTGAGGTTTAACTTGTTATTAATAATGAAATGTGTAATAATACCAGTCATTTAATCCAGAAACGAGATATAAATATTTCTCACTAGATGAGAGACATCTAGGTTTAAACTTACCAGTTGGTAACGTCTACTGTATATATATATCAATCTTAAACAAACGTGTTATATGTAGTCTGTTATTGTAAACATTCGCCCTCTATGTTTTTTTAGAGAAAACATTCAGTACAGTTTGAATGTCGAATATCTCACTGGGATCTTTCACTCTGATTGATCTTCGCGATCTATAAGAACCAGGTGTTCGTTGTTTGTTTAGTCATTCTCAGCATTAATTGCACATCTCTTAGAATGTTGTGGTGAAAGACGTTCCAAGTGAAGTAAGACAGTTTATGGATAAACATGGATTTTCTTGATGCTTTATGAAATGCTTTGGTGTTAAACAGACATTTATACTGTGTAAGAAATACGTAATGTTTTAGAAGGTAAAATTTTCTAATCAATTTGGTTAGAAATTTTGAATTTTTAAAGTGATAATTTCTTCAGCTATTTTGTAGTTTTGATGACAGGTACTTTTCTTAATGTTTCTTTTATTTTAAAATGAGTAATTTTGTCATCAAAATCTGTCTTGAAGTTCGTGTTATTCAATTATACGACAATGACTATAGGTTGGAGCTCACAATATGTTTTACATAACTGTTAACGTTTTATTCAATTATACGACAATGACTATAGGTTGGAGCTTACAATATGTTTTACATAACTGTTAACATAACACTAGTTAAGAGTTTTCTTTCTTATTTGTGTATAATATTAGTTTTTGTTAAACAAGAATTTCTATTTAATCCATTTGTCAAAGAAAATCTCACAGTACGCTTATTATTGGGGCCTGGTGGTTAGGGCATTTGACTCGCAATTTTCGGGTCGCGGGATGGATATGCTCCCCCTTTCAGCCATGGGGTGGGGTTTATAATATGACAGTCAATCCCGCTATCCGTTTGTAAAGAGTAACTCAAGAGTTGGCAGTGGGTGTTGTTGAGTAGCAGCTGCCTTCCCTCGATTCTATCATTTCAAAATTAAAGTAGCTTTACGCGAACATCAACAAAACAAACATATTTTCATTATTTAGCAGAAGCGACACCTTGCAACAGAGGACTAGATCAACACTTTGTCTCTGGCTTAGAACAAAGACGCAATTTTCTATCTGATTTTTTTTTGTTTCTAATTATGAAGACTTAACCAAAAATTGCTTTAGTCATCAAATATTGAAATGCCAAACCTGAAATCCAACAAAAGCCTAATGTATGACGATGGTCAAACCTGAAACCCAACAAAAGCCTAGGCTATGACGATGGCCAAACCTGAAACCAAACAAAAGCCTAGGCTATGACGATGGCCAAACCTGAAACCCAACAAAAGCCTAGGCTATGACGATGGCC